ATCTACTAGTATTGAGGGGTGTATACTGCGAGTACCTTGGCTCGCGAGGGGGCTTCTCGCGGGGACCAGTTCTTTCGGACAGCTCCGAAAACTACTCTCGGCCGGCTTTTCAGGTTTGACCACCACGTCCGCCCTATCCTGGTTACGGAACTCCGCTAGTTACTCCATTTGCATGTATTTGTCGGCTCGCCGACGCATATCGTCCATGTCGGTGGGTGATTTCTTGCAAATGCTGTTGGCAAAGGGCCCTAGTTTCAAGGCGGTGGTGAGATGGTGCACAGCCACAGCAAGATTCAGGTCCCGAATTTCGAGCGCCGCTTTGTTGAATCGGCTCATAAACGTCCGAAGGGATTCCTTTTTCTCCTGACGGATGCTGATGAATGCCAAAGAGGTCAACTGATGGGGTCGGCTCGTAGCAAATTGGATAGTGAACTGGGAGGCCAACGTGTTGAACGAGTCGATCGAGTTAGCAGGGAGCCGAGTGAACCAGCTCAGCGCACGTCCTTTTAGCGATGTCGGGAAGATTCGGCAGAGTGCCGCATCATCAGTGGTGCTGAGAGTGACTTGGATCAAGAACACGTCCACGTGCTCGTCTGGGTCAGTTGTACCATCGTACTTGTCGAGAGGCAGGGACTTCCAATGGTCAAGAAGTGAAGACTGCATGTTGTTTGGGGTAAAAGGGTGTCGGTGTGCCCCGGCTGGGACGGTATGAACGGCTCGGCCAGGTACCTGCACCGAAGTGTGGTTGCCTACGACTGCGACAGAAGTGTGTGGGCTAGAGGTGTGATGACCGAGTGAGTGAAACGACCCCTGAGTATGGGTCATCTCCAAGGGTTTCCACGTGGGATCATTGTGCTGATTTTTGAGGGCGGCGTTCTCTTTTCTCAGCTCGGCCATCTCACGAGCATCTTTCTCCCACTGCTGCTTCATGGCGACCATTTCTTCTCTCATCTGATGGACCATCTCGGTCAGGTTCGTCTCATCGTCTGTCTCGGCATTGTATGCCCTAGACTGGCGCTCATCTTCGGACTGGTGGTCTTCAACGTTAGTTCTCCTTGTCTTTGCCATTCGTAGTGCTCAATTTGTCTTTGAAAAGCTATCGGTTTGGCCCCACGGTGGGCGCCAAAATGTACTTGTCTGAGGGCACACTCGTAATCTTCTGGGGGGAAGAGCCGAACGGGAGCTTCAGGTGGATTCTTCAGAGGGGGAATGTACCTGCAAAAGGCACTCCGACGCTCAAGTTAGGACAAGCACGATTTTCTAGGATAATGATTGAACAGTAACATACCTCGTTACGTGTGATCTATTTATAATACCTGTCATGGGCCTGAGCATGGTGGGCCTTCTCTGACATTTACCAAATTAGGTAATACGATGTTAATCGGCTGATTATGTCTTAATCATGTGCTTGTCCTTGCTAATTGTCAAGTTCTTTTAGCTTGATATCGCTAAGGGTTCTTCGGCGACGGTCTCCAATACTGGAACAGTATTCTACTTACAATAGTAAGTAAAAACTGAGATTAGATTCTCTGCCACTCCTACAACAACATATAAAAAAATGTCTATTTACATTTCATTCTAATGACTATCAAATAACCATCATGTGTAGATTTAATAGTTAAATTAAAGACTTTTAATTTAATAATTTGATTATTAAAATTTAATATAAATTATGAATTATTAAATAAAGTGATTTTATAATGAATAAATTCAATATAAAAATTCTCATTAGTAAAAATGCACAA